TATTTGAGTTATTATTTGATTTGATTTGTAATATGCTCAAATTTCAACTTTATACATATACTTCAATCAAATTGAGAAAAAATAAATAATTGTGAAGATTTGGATTCAAATAATTAAAATATTTGTGTTTCATAATTAAGCGAGCGCAAATGAATTATTTTTGGTGTATCTATTGTATTTGATTTGTAAATTATTTACTATAATAAGAATTGAGCAGAACATAATTATTTTGAAAATAATTATATAATGAACGCAGTGATCCCGAAATGTTAGATACTCTTTGCAAAGAGAGTATAAATATACAACGTAATTAGTACTCACTCCTCACTCTTAAACTCTTTGGTTAAACGTGCGTGAAAGCGGCTTTCATTTGGCTCTCTCAACTCCTCTGCCCATCTCTCGTTTTAGACGCAGCCGCCGCTGCCGCTGCCGCCGCCGCTGCGGCAGCTGCCGTATATTGCAACGATGTATCTGTTGGTCAGCACTTTCATCAGCACAACACCAAGATCGAGCATGCCGACTCCACAACGACAGCCGCTGCTGCACAGCACCATCATCAGCAGCAGCAGCAACAACAACAGCAGCAACAACAGCAACAACAACAGCAACAGCAGCAGCAACAACAACAGCAACAGCAGCAACAACATCAGGATTCACTGCATCCACACAGCCAGAGTCATCAACAGACGCAGAATACACAACAGCAGGGACACGCACACCTGACCCCGGTGCATGCTGCCTCCGCCTTCAAATTTAGCCACACGGCGGTCATATCCAGCTCTGCTGTCTACGCAGCAGCACCACACTATACCCACCAGCAGCAGCCGCAGAGCCACTCGCATGCCACAGTGTATCGCGATATTTCACCCAGCTTAGCCAGCGAGACGGATCTTAAGTACGAGAGTGGTCCGTATAATGCGACTATATCATCAACTTATCCGCCACCGTTGCGCCCCGCTGTGGTTGACTCCACGACTTCGAGCGATGCGGAGCTGCGTCTAGATCAGTTTTATGCCAGCAATTCCATATCCACCAGCAGCAACGGGCAGACCATTAGCCAGCGTCGTGGCTCGCTTCAACTATGGCAGTTTCTAGTAGCCCTTCTGGATGAGCCCGCGACTAGGTAAGTGTGGAGGGAATCGACATACCCAGTGCTTTCACCTCATTTGCTGTATTCCCAGCTCTAGTTGTATTGCGTGGACAGGACGTGGCATGGAGTTTAAGCTCATCGAGCCGGAGGAGGTGGCACGGCGCTGGGGCATACAAAAGAATAGGCCGGCTATGAACTATGACAAATTGTCGCGAAGCCTGCGCTACTACTATGAGAAAGGCATCATGCAGAAGGTCAATGGTGAGCGGTATGTCTATCGCTTCGTCTGTGATCCCGATGCGCTCTTCAACATGGCCTATGGCCACCTCACAAGCAAGCAGGCTGATCAGCAGCATCAGCTGGCCTTGTCGCTGGCCAAATCGTCGCCGGAGTCGCATTCGCATTCGCAACCACTTCGCGTGCAAAAATCGACGGCTGTGGATTACTATGACAGTGGCTTGCATAAGTATCAGTAGGTGGAGTGTGGGAACACCATTGTGTGGGTGTAGCCATATCTCATGTACATTATGTAATTTATTTTCGTGTCGGTGTGGGTATATATATGTATGTGTGTGGGAGGAACACGCTGCTTTAAAGTACAACTCGGTTTGGCTAATGAATTATACAAAGTTTGTAACGGTGCAATTAAATAAAAAGCTAGTGTTGGCAAGCAAGTGCTGTTCAGAGATGTGACAATCGTTAGACCACCACAAACAATCGACACCTATCGATCACAGCCAACTAGCAGTTAGCTTGTAATTTAAAAGACATACGGTGAGGCAAGTCATTTTTATTGTGTTATATTTGGTTATTAGATGGCTAGCGTTAGATGTATAGCTCATCTAAGCGAGGCCTTATCAGCAGTATATACACACATACATCAAATTACATTCATATATACAAAACAAAGTGTCTACCACAAAATATAATCGATTTGAGGTTCAGTTGGCGAATTTAAATAAAGTATATACCGTTTTTGTTCGTTACACAAAGCGAAGCCCGTTGTGCATATGTTTTCCATCATTCTTCCTTCCTTTTCTTTTTGGGTACAGATTTCTCTTCCGACTCCGAGTCGCTGCTGGAACTATGATCAACGCTACTGCTGTCGGTCTCAAGTTTCCGTTTCTCTGGTGATTTCTTGGCGATTTTTTCCACATAGCTCTTTACCTTGTCTGGCTGCGGACTGTAGGCCCAGTGTATCAGCTCTAAGTGGATTTCAGTGGGAGCGCCTGAATCATTGTTGAACAGCTTCGCATCTTCGCTCTTAATCTTCTCCAGCAATTTTGCTATTTTCCGATTGCGTACTATATCCCAGCTCGTTGTATCGTCTTTGGGATACATCGTACGAAGATGCTTATAGTTTCCTTTCGCTTTAGAGCCCCCATATGCCGCAAGGAACTCGGCCGCGAGTTTATCTTTCGGGTCTGGCAATTTGGTTATCAATGAATGTGCCAGATAGGCTCGATTATCCTTGATCCGGTTCTCTCTTTCGAATTTTTCAAGGAACTCTTCAAGCACTTGCACACCTTCCTTGATAGAATTAATTTTATCCTCATTCTTGGTGCCAGAGAGCACTCGCTTCGAGCTGCCAATCAGACCCTTGATTGCTAGTCTTTGATAATCTGGGTCACGTTCCTCCAAAATGCTACAATTAAAATGTATCGATACATTAATTTAACACGCATATGCGAACATAAATATGTATTTCTATGGCCAGACTGTGGAATGCGTCTCGCGTAGCGTGCCAAATGCTTTGCACATTTATACACACAGAGAGAGCGACAGTCAGAGAGGGAAGTCGTTAGGCGGCCTCTCAACCAAATTATTAGACTTCCGAAAGAGGGAGCGTTCACATCAAACACTAAAACTGTGATATGACATCATAGTGGCCGCAAACTCAAAGTGCCGCTGGCGATGACCTTCAGCTAATTCATATTAGTATGCATAGTGAATGTCATCTACCTGAGAGTTGCCAGTGCTGCTGCCTTGTCCTTAAAGCCCAGTCCAGGCACAGTCTCCACTTTGTCGTCGCCATCAGTCTTTGCATTCTTGTTGGAGGAACCGCCTCCGTTCTCCTCCAGCCATTTCTCAAACACACCAATGGCATCGTTTATGTTCTTCACCTTATCTGCAGCCTTTGTCACTGTAATGGAAATTGATATGGATAAGAATGGTTGTAAATAGAAAAGGATTCGTTTGAATCTTACTTGTTAGGACTCGTTTGGCACGTCCCAGTAGGCCCCGCACGGTCAGCTTGCGGTACTGCATGTCATGGCTCTCCAAAAGCTTGAGCGTCTCCAACGCCTTCTCCATGTCCTTGAACCCAAACTTCGATTCGCCCTCGGACATTGTTGCTACTCTATATGGTAAATGTTAATTTCGACAGAAAACTAGCGTCTGCAAGCCACCAAAGACGAACTACGACTGAACGCTAAAATCTGTTCGCCTGCATGAAAGCTTTAAGGCAAAGCAGAAACGGAAATGTATCGAAAGAGAGCGTGCGAGCGCATCAGAGATTGGGTGAGCAGAATATGGGACACCTAATTAGATAACCGTGGCCAAAATAACCAAGTGACACTATCAGTGCTCAATTAGGAACCGGTTTGTTGTCGTACTGCCGTAGCAAAACAAAAGCGAGAAAAGACCCCGCCATGACGTCATGGCTGCCAGACGCCGATTATTTTCAGGTGACGATAGTTTTCGGGTGACCAGATTCAAATACCTACGTATATAACGAGCTCGACAATTGAATATTTATTTCAGTAACAATGCCAACAATAAAAATATGAATTTTAATCAAATATAAGTTTTGTATTAACCTCACAATTAATAATAATAAAACCAACATTCAAATCATTTAATGTTTAATACGAGTTTATTATTATTAACAGATATACCAGTTGTCTGCTTTACATGACTTCTATAAAAATATTTAACACAAATCAAATCTTTTATTCATATAAATTATATCAGAATATTTCTAAAATTTAGTAGGCTTAACAGTAGACTTACTTCACTAGCCATATAAAATACGGAGTCACTTAAGCATTATTGTGATTGCTTAAAGGAATAAAAATAATATACATACATACATATATTCATTAGGCCAGACGAAGATTGATATTCTTGCAGAAACATAAACTAGACATTTACATTTTCTTTGTATAATTTAAGACAAAACAAATTGAAGAATTGAAGATTGAATTGATTATCGAAATTTTAAACCAATAGGTGTGATAACCTGTACATTATGTCACAATCGGCCGACTCGAATTTCTATACCAAAAAAGTGGTTATAGAAACGATCTTGGTAATTAAAAATATAATGCTTTGAGCCAAAATTAGCAATTAACCAAAGTAGGTTAACCAGATTGCGCCAAGACTCGTTTAGTATCTGCAAGGATATTCTATCTCCGGCAATCCGAAGTTAGTTACTAAACGTAAAATTCTCTCTCTCTATAATACAAGTAGACATTAATATATGGTTATAGATGGTCAAATATAGTGTACTCACATTATAAATCTAGCTTGGCTCTTTTCTCAAGTATTTCCAATTCCATCATTTCGATTCGTAACTTTCCCTCTTGGACTTCTTGGTCCAGCTTTATCTTCTCTTTGAGCATTTCGTGATTATGCTTTTCCTGCGCACGTTGGTTTTCGCCTTTATAAAATTCTTGCTGTAGCAGCACTAGTTTAATCTTCTCCTCATCCAAGCTGCGCAGTGTCCGTGGATTCATGCTCGGCCAGTCGGAGCTTATATTTGCCCTGACATCTTTATGTTCAATCAGATTGGGGATCTAAAAACAAAGCATAATATTTTAAAGCATGTACGCCTAAAAGCATATCCGCTTACGTCATGTGTATCGGTGGAACTTCCAAACATGTCATCGTCTCCTTCGAAATTGATGTCATTTGGCACATTAGCTATAAAGGAATTGCAGAAATTAATATAGTTAGGGAATTTTACCCAATTAAGATAATACTTACACGCGTCGCTGTCGAATTGGTTACCCAAGCCCGCAGTAGATTCACCCATTAAAGCAATATACTTTCCTGCGCCGGTGCGAAAGCTGTGATTCTTGTCGTCTACCAGTTCGAGCTTGGACCTTCGTTTCATGTTTATAAACTTATCCCGTAACGCCTTCCATTCTCGGCGTATGCCTGTTCTAGTATAAAATGTGTCTGCCATTTCCTCCCAGGCCTGTTCCTTTTGCTTCCACGTAGCCGCATCTGACTTTTTGTTTTCCAATATATTCTTCCTTTCCTCGAGGAGTTCCATGAGCACTAGTTCCTCCTCCGCCGTAAAATTTTTACCTCTTTTTTTCTTTTCCTCACTCGACATATTTCAATTTTTCCAGCCCAATACCAAAATAAACAAACTCAGCTGTATTTTGCAATTAGAGTGACCAATCTTTACAATCTGTCGACCAGAGATGCCAACTTAGCTTAATAGCGAAATTTGCTGTGGGAAATAAGAAATTGGAACAAAGCTAAGCATAGAAATAGCTTTGAGTCTTGTGGTCTTGTGAACGGAATATGTAAATGGGGCAGATTGCTTTCATTTCTGGATAGAGAACGACTTGCCATTCGAGATTTTAATAAGGAATTTGATTCAAACTATAAAAAGTAATACATAATGAATTTTTACTCTAATTAATATATAAAGTCATTCTAATGGTATTTTTTCGCAGAAAAATGTTTGGTGTTAACCGTTCAACTGGAAAAGCACGTGGAAGAATTCAGGAATTCGGGGATATAGGAATGTGGATTCGTAAAATGACAGAGACTCTGGATAGATATAAAAATACTATGGAAAACTTACTCAAAGACCCACCCATGTCGTTCACAATTGATTAACAAGCGGG